TCCTCTGATGCTGCTTGGCCTGCTGTGTTCATCCAGTTCTTTACCTTTTTCTCTTTCTTTTATTTTTTATTTGTATGTACTGCTTATAAGGCAATTTTCAAAGCAGAATACTAGTGAGCATAATAAAACTAGGAATTTGTAACAATTTACATAAGTTATAGAGATAATAGTCCTGAACCTCCACAGCTAATTCAACATACTACCTCAGTGCATGTGCCAGGAGCCTGTTTCCAAATCCACCTAAGGGCAGTGGCCAAGTGCCCTCACAGCCAGGTAGGTTGTGTCATTGGCTGCCAGGACAGTCAGGCAGGCCCTGGCAGGGTGGTTTGGGCTGGTAAGCACAGGTGAGTGTTATTGATAGGTGTCTATTGCCACGATAGGGAGGCTCTCTGTAGGCTCACCCCAGCCCAGGAGGCTGACAGTTTATCTCCCCACATGGCAAAGGACCAACCTGCCACCAGCTAAATGCCATCAGAAGTGGATGATACCCTTAACTGCTCACTCAAATGGCTCACGTGGGTAGGAGAGCTATCCTCCTACTTCCCTGACACTGGTAAAATGCCATTACGTTGGGAAAATGGTGGGGACTCCACCCACCCTGTATTATTTTGCTTTTGACCCCATCTCACCGTTTATATTCTGTTGAAACTATACCAGTTCCTTAATTCTTCCAACACTTTTCTAGCAGAAGAACCCTCTTTCCCTAGTTTTAAAATTGCAATGCTATTTCTTTGTTTCAGAAGTAAAATAATTTTATTTACTGCTTAGAGCTATTGGTGTCCGCTGGATTCACTTTTGTTCTTTAAACTGTTTTTAGTTTCAAGTACTCTGGAAAGATCACTCCCGTGGATTTTTTTGATCAATGTAAGATTTACATTGGTGATACATGTAGGAAAGGAAGTGACATTTTCACAATGTTTACTTTCCTCTGTACGTCAATTGCCCTCTACAAAGTTTGTGCATTTGAGTTTCAACCCTTCATCAGTATAAATGGTGTCAGAATTCTAGTTTTACAGCATGATAGAAACCTACAAAGATTTAACAAACTAGCCATCTGAATGAGTTCAGGGAGTTCATCCAGGACTGCCTATAGCGTCAGATCTTAGTGCAGGAATAGGATCAGCACAACCATACTACACTGAGGCAGAGGAAAAGTTAACTGATTTGCCCATTTAAAACAGCTTGCAGCTCTGAAATTCATTTTCAAAAACAGATTGAACTTCCAGCTAGATCAGTAAGTAAATTCCCCATTTACAGCAGAAGAGAGATATAAAAAGTCAGAAAGGTCCCATTTCAATCTCTGGCCTCTGCTAGTTCATCATTTCAGCCAGGATCAAATTGGTCTCAATGTCCTGCGAGAGGAGAGAGAAAAAAAATTAACAATAGCTACAGTTTCCAAAGTGACTTTTATATTGGAATATACAAATCTGGGGATGAGGAATCGTGTATGTTTGGAATGAAGCACTGGAGGGTATTCAGCAATTCTATTTTTTTCCCCCTGCGTACATGGACAATTGATTTTAAATGTGCACATCCACTTTTTTTTTTGCGTGGCCACGGATCCACTATCACTTAAAGGGAATAACTTATCCAGAGTCTTCAGGGTTGCCATGAGCCAGACAGCCCAGATGAAGCAGATGTTGCAACTACCTGGATACATCAAGGGTGGAATTTTCCACTTGTGGGGAGGTGATACTGGAGAGATACTCATCCCTGTCTTGCCAGGTTTTGGCAAGGACGTCCACTGGGGACTTTCTGAACCTGATAAGGACCTCAATTGCAACCTTTCCGATTGACTGCTGCCTTGGGCAGTAAAGTGACTGGGTAACCACATTGACCTGTTTGCTAGGGTTGGGGGGGGTGGGGTTTTAACTGCCCCATACAGGGGCAGTCAGATGCCCAGCTCAGGAGTCAATGGGTGGCCTTTGAAAGCCCCACCCCCTACTCAGGTCTGTAACACACAAAGCAACTCTCTACAATTCCTGACCTGCAAGAAGCAAATGAAAATAATGAACCTTCTTGCTGTTGAAGCCTACCGCTCCAGGATCCAACAAATGGTCTTTAGGACCCAGAAGCTGCCAACCAGTCCTTGGAGATCTGGGATAATATTATGGAAGCCTGTGATAAATGGAGATACTCATTGAATCATATAGTGCAGAAGAGATGCTTCAGCCCATCGAGTCTGCACCTACACGTGAGAAACACCTGACCTTTAACCTAATCGCATTTACCAGCACTTGGCCCATAGCCTTCAATCTGATAATACTTCTTCAACCTTATTAGTCAGTACACAGGTGTTTTACTGGTGCAGTCAATAGTGGGAAAGAAAAGTCACAGTGATGTGGTCGTGGGGTGAAAAGCTGTTCAGTTGTGTGTAACAGCACTTCTGGATATAGAAAGACAAAAGAAACCTTGTAGCCAGCTCTTAACAAGCTGACTGGCATGTCATTATTTGAGCGTCATCAACATCGAACATGAACCCTCACACACAAGAAAGGAACATTGAAGCCAGAAATTTGAATTTTCACACCAGTGCAATCAAGGAACAAAAATTCTAACTCTTTCAAATCAACAGTCCCAGCGAGCTGGACATTTGTTCTGGGGGCAGTGGCCATTGTGGTTGCTTTCAATCTCTTTCCAGGACTGACTCCTGCTAATGCATCGAGTGTCAGATGCGAAGTGCAGGCCTCAGTGATCAAGGACGTCGGTGCCACTATGGAAGAAAAATGAAAAACAGTTCTCTGAGCCCTCACTCTCTCGACAGACTTCTCATGCCCCATCCAGACCACCGTGTGCTCCTACACCCGTGGCCCTGTTGTTTATGTACCCTCCACCTCAATCTATACCTCTGTATTATTTTCTCCAGCTGTTTATAGTACCTGTGCCAATGCATGCCAGTCCATGTCTTCACCCACCACTCTTTACTTTTGGGAACTGAATGTCCAAGGATACAGGTTCTATCAAAAGGACAGACAGATGGCAGAAGGGGCAGGGTTACCTTTTTGGTAAGAAATGAAATTAAATCAATAACAAGGAGTGGTGTAGAGTCAGAAGGTGTAGAATCTGTGTGGGTAGAGTTGAGGAACCACAAAGGAAAAAAAGACCCTGATTGGAGTTGTGTACAGGTTTCCTAGCAGTAGTCTGGATGTGAGGAAGAAATTAAGTCAGGAGATGGTGCCTTTCTTACATGCCTTTTCTGTTAAACTAACCACGGAGAATTTCAGTATGCAGGTGGACTGGGAAACATCAGGTTGTCAGTAGATCTTAAGAAAAGGAAATTTGTGGAATGCCTCCAAGATTTAGGTTTTTTTTAAACAGCAGCTTGTGGTAGAGCCCACTACAGAACAGGCAATTCTAGACTTGGTGATGTGTAAAGAGGAAGACTTGATTAGGGAGCTTGAAGTTATGGAACCCCTGGGGGACAGTGACCATAATATAATATAATAGATTTCACCCTGTAGTTTGAGAGGGAGAAGCTGGAATTAGGTGTAACAATATTACAATTGAGTAAAAGGTTACTAAGACGTGAGGGAGGAGCTGATCAGCGTTGACTGGAAGGGGAGCCTGGCAGGGAAGATGGTGGAGCAGCAATGGCAGGAGTTTCTGGGAGTAATTCAGAGTCACAGCAGAAATCCATCCCAAGGAAGAAGAAACATACTAAGGGGAAAACAAGGCAACCCTGGCTAACAACAGAACAAGGGGACAGCATGAAAGCCAAAGAAAAAGCATACTATGTGGTGAAGATTAGTGAGAATCCAGAGGATTGGGAAGCCTTTAAAAACCAGCAGAGGTTAACTAAAAAGCAATTGGGGCGGAGAAGGTGAAATACGAGGGTAAACTAGTTAGTAATATAAAAGGAGATTGCAAAAGTTTTTTTTAAATATCTAAAAGGTAAAACAGAGTGAAGAGTGGATATTGGACTTCAGAAAAATGTGGCTGTAGAAGTAGTAATGGGGAACAAAGAAATGGCATAGGAACTGAATAGGTATTTTACCTCAGTCTTCACAGTGTAAGTTAACAGCAGCATACCAGAACTTCAAGAAAATCAGGGGGCAGAGGTGAGTCTAGTGGCCATCACTAAGGAGAAGGTGCCAGGGAAGCTGAAACCCTGGATGCACCGCAGTCCAGGTTCTGAGGAAGATAGCTGAGGAGGTTGTGGTGGCATTGCTGGTGATCTTTCAGGAAACACTTGAGTCAGGGAGGGACCTGGCTGACTGAAAAATGGCTTATGTAATACCCCTGTTTAAAAAGTGCAGGAGGCAGAAGACAGGAACCTATAGGCCGGTTAGACTGACCTATGTTGTTGGTAAGATTTTAAAAGTCCAATACTAGGGATGAGATTTTGGAGTACTTGGAAGTGCATGATGAAGTAGGGCTGAGTCAGCACAGCATCATCAAGGGGAAATCATGCCTGACAAATCTGTTAAAATTCTTTGAGGAGCTAATCAGTAAGTTAGACAAAGGAAAGCCAGTGGACATAATCTATTTGGATTTCCAGAAGGCCTTTGACAAGGTCTCACACAGGAAGCTGCTGAACAAGACAAGAGCCCATCCTTTTAAAGGCAAGGTACTGGCATGGATAGAGGCACAAAAACAAAGTTGCTGGAAAAGCTCAGCAGGTCTGGCAGCATCTGTGAAGGGAAAAAACAGAGTTAACGTTTCGGATCTGGTGACCCATATCAGCTATGATTGAATAGCGGAGAAGACTCGTTGGGTTGAATAGCCTAATTCTGCTCCTATGTATTATGGTCCATAACCTCATACTAACTCACCCAGTATCCATCATGGGCACATCAATGACCTATATTTTTAAATGTTTATCGATGAAGTCAGGATTAAAAAGAACACTTTCATTGACCTATTCACTGCATTTAACTTTTCAACTATTCAATTCCTTACAAATACAAGCAATTGTATTCATAATCTCACTAGTTCTAGCCATTTAGCAATATCTGTGAAGAGATAGTCACCACACTGTGATAATGAAAGGTTGTCAAATCAATCATGCAGCACAAATCCTACAATAATAACCCTCAGATTTATGTCACCAGAAACTGAAATAGCAAACACAGATTTACTTTTACTCGACAGACAGTTTTTTGTAAAATCTAAAGTCCAGGACATTTAAGTGCCTTCCCAGTTCCCTTGACGACTTGACAGTTCCATTGAGTTTATCCATATTTTACAACATCTCTGAAAGGTTGACTCAGGATCTATCCAAATGGTACCCAGCTCTCCAACTGAATGCCCTACTTCCTGTAAAGAATTGCAGCAGCTTTAGACCTTACCCTATAAAGTCGAAACCACATCTATCTTGGTTTGGATATCCTATCAGCAAAAACTGGATCTCACTAAAGGCAGATGCACTTTAACAGGTGCGGTTACCTTCATGAGCAATAGATGTGCAAACTACAAATTGCTGCTGTTCCCAAATTTCTGTTCCACCTGCATCCCTTGCAAAAATGTTGTTGCTAGGTTTGGGGCCAGAACATCTGGAAGCAGGACTACGGCACTATTTTCTTTCAGGCTGGAGATCCTCTCTGTCTTCAAGAATATTCAGGCCATACAGTCACAGATTCAATATGCCTGTTACGATTTCTGGATCATGAGCCAGATATTACCTTCAATTCAGCATCACAGGTCAGTATAACAAGAAATATGACAGAGAGATGGCATTCAGGACGTAAGGGACCCACGGAAAAGAGAAAGAAATGATGCAATGCAGGCAGCTATATAGAAGGTCTCAATGTTAGTGATGAATAAATTCATAAGCTTTTCACACTTGGCTGGAAATTGTATTATCCTTCCAGGATTCTACAGGCATTTCCGCACATTATTTAATTATTTATTCCTTTTAGAAGTGGAGTCAGAAATAAAAAGGTAAGTCCTGCAAAACAAATACAGTCATGGCATTTTAATTTCCTTAAAATACAAAATAAATTGTTCACATTTTAACTTTGAATTAAATGTGAACACTAATAGCAATTTTATAACTGAGCAAATTGGATTGTACAGTCTGAAACAGCCTCATTTGTTTCAAGATGAATTCTTTGTTCCTGAAAAAGAAAACAAGCTTCGGCCATATATTCCTCAAGAAAGGTCCTTAAATTTAAAAGGCTGTCAGCCAATTTTTCAAAAAAGCTTTGAACAACTGCATCCAAGTATGGCACTGCTGCTGTTGGCAGCTACTTCAGTCAACAGACACAACACAGCAACCAGGCTCCAGGCTTAAGAGATATATGAAATTGACTTACTTTGTTGTGTGGCATCTGGAGTTCTACTTTCAACTTTTATCACTCGTGCAGTTGCTGGTTTTTGCTCCATCGCTGGTATGTCATCATCCTGAAGAAATTTGCAACAAGTCATATGATATCTAAGTAACTTTTCCCAAGGCTTTTTTTTTAACCATGTACTGACGACACCTTAGTCAGAAATGAGGTCTAAATCATTTTCTGTATAATACTACTAGATAATTTACAGAAATATTTTTGAAATAGCACAGCTTGTATGAATTCATTCAGACTGTTAAACATAACGTTGGCATGGATTTTAATTGATATTTTAAAAATAACACGAAACCTGAAGACAGCAGGCAAATGTGAAGTGTCCTGCTGCCAACTAGCATACCATCCGCCCCACCTTCATCCCATCATGCGCCAGAGCCATTTTCCAAGAGGTAGGATGGTGTGGGTGAGGGCACAGGTCTACCCGACTGTAGCCACAATTAGCTAATCCTCCTTATTTAGGATCCAATATGTCCACTGTGTCATTGTGGATTGCTGAGTGGAATTAGAATGGAGGCCTCTTGGTATCGAGTGTAGCCACAGCAGTTATGGAAGTGTTCCTCTCCCTGCACCAATGCCCAGCCAACCCACAATGATGGGTACTGATTTTATTTTTTATTATAAACTTTAAAAAGTTAGAGAGAGGATTCCTCCACCTTGTTGTGGCCTGTTCCTCACTTACCATGCAAAGGCAGTTTGCTGTTCTTTCAAGTGGGAGAGCCTCCAAATGATCCCTATCTTTGAGGGCTCACCCACCTTCCATACAATCAGACTGACAAGCTGCCCTCTGGCCACTGAATAGCCAATCCAGGGAAAGTCACAGTTGAATGACTTCCCCACAATGGGGAGGCTTCAAACCCCTACTTTAGCCAGGTAACAGGCTTGTGGGGAAATCTGACAATGGTTTTATAATATGAAAATAATTATGCAAAATTATTACATACAACTTATAAATTTGGACCAGTTGTAGGTCATTCAGCCTTGTTGGGCTTGCTCTACAAATTAAAAAGATCATGGTTAATCTGATCGTAAATGCAAATCTGTGATCCTGTTTACCTCTGATAATCCTCTAACTGCTTTCTTAACAAGAATCATTCCACCTTTAGAAAAGAGTTCCAAAGACTCATAACATTCTGAGGGAAAAGAAAGCCTAATCTCTGCTTAAAGTGGGCAACACCTGATTTATAACAACGGTCTCTAGTTCTGGATTTTTCTGAAGAAGGGTCCCGACCCAAAACATCAGCTTTCCTGCTCCTCCTATGCTGCCTGGCCTGCTGTTTTCCTCCAGCTCCACACTGTGTTACCTCTAGTTCTGGATCCTTGCACAAGAGGTAAAATTCTCTTCATGTTCACCCTGTCAAGATCGCTCAACACCTAATACGCTCCAATCAAATCACTTATTAGTCTTCTAAACTCCAGCAGATACAAGCCAACCCGTCCAAACCTTTGCTTGAGACAACCATCCCAATTCAAGTATTAGTCTAGTAAACCTTCTCTGAACTGCCTCCAACCCATTAGCATCCTCCCTTAAATAAGGTGACCAATACTGCGCACGGTACTTTAGCTGCAATCTCATTATTGTCCTGTATAATTAAAGCATAACCTTCTTACTTTTGTACTCCATTCCCGTTGTAATAAATTATAATGTTATATTAGTTTTCTTAATTACTTGCAGTATTTGTATACTAACCTTGTGTGATTCATGCACATGGATACCCTTGCATATCAGGACTTTACAATCTTTACTCCATTTAAATAATAAACTTCTTTTTAATTCTTCCTGCCAATTTCACACTATACTCCATTTTCCAAACTCTTAATCACTTACCTAACCTATCTATATATTTTGTAGCTTCATGATTTCTTCACAACTTACATTCCTACCTGTCTTTGTGTCATCAGTGAGTTGGCAACGATACCTTCTGTACTTTCATCTAAGTCATTTATATAAATTGTAAACAGTTGACATCCCAGCACCAATCCCTGTGGCACATCACTCGTTACAGCTTGGTATCATGAAAAAAAATCACACTTATGCCTACTCTCTACATTGTGTTAGCTAACACAATCTCTTATTCATTCCAATACATTACCTCCTACACCATGAGCTTTTATTTTCCATAATAATGTTTAATTTGGCACCTTATCATATGCTTCTGGAAATCTAAACACAGTACATCCACCAGTTCCCCTTTATCCACAGCACATGTTGCCTCCTCAAAGAACTCCAAGAGATTTGTCAAATATGGTTTCTCTTTCACAAAACTGTGACTCCACCTGATCACGTTAAACTTGTCAATTGTTTTGCTATAACAACTTTAGTAAGAGCTTCTAACATTTTCCTTACGAGATAATTTTTTCATTTTAAGAGTGTAGCTTATCTGGGTAAGTCAGAGTAATATTAATGGCACTAGAGTGTGATATTCTGTTAAGTAGCATTCGAGTTCCTTGACTGAGAATGAGTTAGGTAGCTGGTCTAAAGATAAAGTGTTTTTGTTGTCAAGGAGTTCAACAAGATTTCGTGTTTTTGGAAATCTGTAAGATATATGATTTTAATTTGCATATATGTGCACAATAAAAGAAAACAGAGTCATCACATCTTTTTTTTTTACCACAGGCTAGTGAAGTCAAATTCCTTTCATAAATTTGAGTGCAGTAACAGTGGAGAATCAATTATCTAAATGTCAGTCATCTGCACTGTTCAATTGCTCAAGCTGAATAATGCCCTTTAATATTATTTCTGAAAAATTAATTTATAAATTTGTATACTGTACAAAATGGAATGCAATGAAAGGCATGTGCAATTGTGCTTGGCTATCCAAGTATGTTCATTACTAAAACACCATAAAGTTCCAGTCAGATTAGGTGATTGAGGTCCTCCTACTATTGCAGTGAGTACAAGAGGAGAAGATGCAGGGATTCACACTGACAGAATCACCACATAACACAAAAAATGCTGTAATAAAATGCACTTAACAACAGTGTTCTGTAATTACACAATAAAATAATTTTATGTGGAAGAAGAATTTTGCCATTTAGGGTGTAGCAGCTTTCATTGTACTCAAGTTCAGTTTTACATTAGTGAAACCAAAGTACTATTTGACATTTAATTGAATCAATACTGAAGTCTTTACAAGAAGATAGATCCTCTGGAGGTTTATCTAAAGTCAAATTAGAGTGTGAGAGATGAAAATGTATGAGAATTGTCGTAACTTTGTCTAATGTAAATTAAGTTTATTCAAAAATTTGAGGTTTTAATACTGATATTGTGTGTGCAATTACTGTTGCTTCTTTGGATTACATTTTTATTGCAGTATATTTGAAATAAAGTCAATAAATGCAATATACCTAGGCTTCTGACACAGGATTTGAACCCTAAACTGAAGATGCAGTGAGCTACTTAACTTGCTATCCAATCTCAAAATAACGAGCTGCAATGCTCCACTGTGAAATACGTATGTGTAGTTCCAGCTGAAGCCCTGGTACATTGGACATACACCACAATTTGCCCATATTCAAATTGAAAATCTAAGCTGAATACCCACAAGGATATTTGGTGATTCCATTGCACAGTAAGGGCATTCTAATGATGTTGAGGGTAGGTATGTTGGGAAGGAGAAAAATAACATCTACTTGAGTTACAAAACTAAAATATATATCTAGAACAAGTAATTAAAGACCTTGATATTCCTTTACTTTATAGAAATTTTAAATTAGAAATTTTAAAGGCTAAATTGTAAGCAAAGTGCATTTCCTTGTGAACATATTTTGTGTGGATTTTCACCTTCACTGCTCCAAAAGTGATATTATTGCACACAGATCACTTGTCCATTATATGAACTCGTGTGAATTTCATATGATTCCTTGTGCCAGATTAGTGCACAAGTGATGAAGGTGGAAATCTAGCCTATTAATCTTGCTGAGCATCAAAATCACACTGTATCTGTAGTGTGCCTCCTCAGACCATGTCAATAATAGCCACTCAGAGAAGACACACCCTCGGGCATTCCAGCTTCTTTCACAGCTTTGTAAAAATCTCCCCTTGCCCTAAGGATGAAACTGGTTCTTATCGCTGAATTGGCTCTCGCCTGGATTTTTCTTATCCCATCAATAATAGATTCAAGTTTTTTTTTACAGTATGCTCAGAATTGGATGTTTGAAGTCCAATAATTATTCTGGTGAACTATATTTCTTACACTGAATTAACTGAAGGAAATTATAAGTACATAAAATTATAAGAGGCATAGATAGGCTGGATAATCGGGTAGAAATGTTAAATAATAGAGGATATAGGTTCAAGATGAGACGAGAAAGGTTTAAAGGAGATATGTGAGGAAATTCATTTTTACCAACAGAGTGGCAGGTGCCTGGAACGTGCTACCAAGGGAAGTGGTAGAATCAAACATGTTAGCAACATTTAAGAGGCATTTCAACAGACACGTGAACAGGAAGGGAACAGAGGTATATAGACAATATACAGGCAGATGGGATTAATTTAGAATGGCACCATAGTCAGCACAGACATAGTGGGCAGAGGGCCTGTCCATATGCTGTACTGTTATGTTGTTCTATTCACATGACTGGATTTGAAATAGTGATGAGTCAAGAAGATCATTTGTTGACAAACAATTATCAAGTCACAAAATTTTACAAAGCTGCTTTCAAAGCTCATGCCTCCTTGCAGAATATAATCTCACTGGGTTTTTTTTTCCAGATTGACCTTTTATTTTCGGTGTAATTCATCTAAAATTAACCAAACCAGTATGACTTCAAAGAATTTCATGTGAATATATAGTCCGATGTAAATCGGAGTTTCCATGGTTCATTGTACTAGAATCCAGCTACAAATCTGATCATGTCCCCAAACTGAATCAATCACCATTCGAAGCTTCTGCTAAACTTTTGTGAGTTTTTGAGGAGACTCTTAAAATTGAGATTTTTTTTTCAGATGCAACAACATAAATAGACACGTTTAATTTTCTTTTTCTAGTTTACAAAGAAACTGACCATAGAATATAAATGTAACTAGTAAATGGTTCAGTAAAGTTTTTTTTATTAACTTTCAGTAAGACAGTGTTACTGTCTTACTGAAAGTTAATGGTGGTCTGGACACTGAGTGATAGACCAGTTTTCAGTTGTATTAACTGCACCAAATTGTCACTCTTAAATATTTTTAATGGATTTAAAAGTGCATGCCCTAAACATTGCCTGAATCTGCTGCTGCATGCAAAATTTCACGTTTCACAATTTGCAAATAACCTTGTACAGAAATGAGGTTAAAAGTTTTCTCAAAACCAACCCAAATGATTTTCACTTTGCATGCAGATCACTGACAGCACCCATAATAAAAAAGTCCAGACAATTATCTTTATTTTGCTGAGGCCATTTTAAGTTACACGAGTTATCATAAAATAACTACAAACAATTTTTTAGGCCCAATAGCTATCTCTACCCACAAAAGTTACCTGGATAATAATTTCATGTGCTAAAATCCCAGTCAGAAGATCCTCCTCTCCCTACACTTGAATTTCTTGGCCTCCTTTCTAAGCATTGCATTTCCAGCAGCATCAGGTTTAACCCTTATTTCTATCCTCATACAGCACTTACACAGGACAGACATACTTAGTTAATTCAAATTATCTGATAAATTGCTGCCAAATCCCTGTACTTTGTGAAGTGTCAAAGCTAAAGTTTGATCATTACACTAGCAATAAACACACTAGGATTTATGGCAGTCTGTTGGCAGTCAAACAATAACAGAGTGACTGAAATCTAGGAGCACTGTCATGTCTAATTAAGATAGGGTCATCCAAAAGATGAAGACATTTTGTATCATAAATTGTGAAACATGAAATATATCATAAAGCCCAAGTTCCAAGTTCAAAACACAAACCAAAACAGAAATTGCTAGAAAAACCCAGCAGGTCTGGCAGCATCTGCGAAGAGAAATCAGAGTTAACATTTTGGGTCCAGTGACCCTTCACAACAATTCCAAAGTTCCAACAGTTCCTAAGTTCCAAAGAGTTTCCATCCAGTCTATGTATAATTTATAATGTGTTTTGCAACACTTTAGTCCTCTGCACATGCAAGATTAGGGGAATTAGATAAATTTCTCTATGCTATCATTTTAGTGTAACAACCATAATTTGTATATTCAGGGGAGTTTTTTGTGTTTCTTTGCAGCAGATAATATTTTAAATCTTCAACCTGCAATGGTCTTTTGGACTGCTCCAAAATACTTCATAGACAGCCTCTTTTCTGCTCATTTGGGATTTATTTTGGTTGCAAGGTACATAGTCACAACAAAAATCACAGTTCCGCAAATAACTATACAAGCAGACTGGAGACCTCTCAGATGTTTACCTGTCCCTTATCTCTTGCTTTTGGGGTCTTCTGGAGCGCTTGACTGTTGGGAAGCGCCGCGATTGGACATGTTTCGAGATCTGCCAAGGTCATAGGTCCATAGCTGGCATCAAGCTCCCATCCATTTCCCTCTAAGAACATACAACTGCAAGTATTAAATCACTTGAAGTTTGATAAATGATACACTAAAAACATTGTGAACTGCAGCAGTAACCAAGAATGCAACTCTGCTAATTGGCTGCTACACTCACTGTCATTATTTTCCAGAAATTGTGATGTAAATTCATGGCTGAAAAACCAGCCAGCACAATGATCTAACTTATGGCATTTGTCATCAATGTCACCAATGCAATAAATTAGTTCAAACATTATTTGGTTACAGTACCTTGCTATTGAGATATTTAATCTTATATGGGTTAAAGGTTACTGTAAGACCAGAAATAAAATAAATCAAATTGAATTCATTGATTAACACCTGCTTCTTAATGAATTTGATCAAAAGAAACAAGCAACATTTCTGTTATTTGAAGAATAGGAAGCAAGATTAAATATTGCCAAACTGTTATAAGTTTACCTGAAACCAACACTACACCAGTAAAATTTGCCAAAGATAGTTTAGATAAAGACAGTGAGGGCCAAGGAAGAAGAATATAATTTAGGCTGAAATTTCCAGAAATGTTTTAACAAAAATATTAAAGTAGTCTTTGATTTTCTTTTGAGTAAATTCACTTCTTACAGATTTGCATCAGTTTTACATAATAGAAAACAGTAGTTTTGTAGGACAGCCAGTTTAATTTATACACATAATAGGTAACACGAACACCTCATAATGAATTGCTTTATGAAAAGAACAAGCAGAATGAGGAATCTAGAAACAGGGGCAGAAATTTAAAATATAATGAGTCTCTCATTTAAGACCGAGATGAGGAGCATTTCTTCTCTCAGAAGGTCGTCAATTTTTGGAAGCTCTTTCACAGAAAGCAGTGAAGACTAGGTCATTGAATATATTAAAAGCTGCATGAGACAAACTGTTAATTGATGATAGAGTCAATAATAGTGGGGTGGGGGGCAGGAATGTCGAGTTAAAGCCACAATCAGATCAGTCATGACTGAATGAATGGGAGAGCAGGCTCAATGGGTTGAATAGCCATTCTCCTGCTCCATTTTCTTACGTTCTCATGAACCTTGCAACAGGGATTGCAATGTGCTTTGAGATAACATAGCAATAAGGAGCAATTTCAATTTTATTCTACATCATAATTGTGTCAGATAATAGAACATGAGTCCAAATGTAAGAAGAAATAACGAAAAAGTCATGGTTTCTGCTCTCAATTTCATTGACATTAGCTCAAATGCTCCTCAGTGGAAAGCTGGTAAAGACACAACAGACTTGACAAGTGTTTCTTGTGAAGTCATATCTTCAGCACACACTTGTTGTCGATGGTCAAATATGAAGAATGCACAGGGGTGTGTGCAGTTTGCCATTGGTATCAAAGACAGAAAGGGTGAAAATTGAAGGACAAGCTCATGATATTCTTTCAAAGGGGAAAAACTGAAAGCACATGAAAAATATTTTCTCACTGGAAGCAGAGGTGAAAATGGATTACACAGCAATTTGGTGCCTCCATTAAGTCACTTATAAATTAGCACACTGCAACAGCTGCAGCAGGTCATCACCCACATCTCTTACCTGGAAAGTGCCATGGGATGTCAGACAATCTAAGGAATAGGGGAAAACGCTTCTAAAGTGTGAATGAAATGAGTGATTTTGACCATTAGTCTTATGGCTCAGAAAAAAATTCTTGTTCAGTTCACTGATACCTGCTGCATTAAACATAAGAACAAAAGAACTAGGAGCAGGAGTAGGCCGTCCGGCCCTTCGAGCCTGCTCCGCCATTCAATAAGATCATGGCTGATCTTTTCATGGACTCAGATCCACTTACCCACATTCTCACCGTATCCCTTAATTCCTTTAATTGTTCAAAAAAAATCTATCTTTAAAAACATTTACTGAAGTAGCATCACCTACTTCACTGGGCAAGGAATTCCATAGATTAACAACCCTCTGGGTGAAGAAGTTCCTTCTCAATTCAATCCTAAATCTGCTCCCTCTAATCTTGAGGCTATGCCCTCTTGTCCTAGCTTCACCTGCCAGTGGAAACATCCTCTCTACTTCTATCTTATCTATTCCCTTCATAATTTTATATGTTTCTATAAGATCCCCCCTCAATCTTCTGAATTCCAATGAATATAATCCCAATCTACTCAGTCTCTCCTCATAAGCCAACCCCCTCAACTCCGGAATCAACCTCGTGAACCTCCTTTGCACCCCCTCCAGTGCCAGTACATCCTTTCTCAAGTAAGGAGACCAAAACTGCACACAGTACTCCAGGTGTGGCCTCACCAGCACCTTGTACAGCTGCAACATAACCTCTCTGCTTTTAATCTCAATCCCTTTAGCAATGAAGGACAAAATTCCATTTGCCTTCCTAATTAATTGTTGTACCTGCAGACCTACCTTCAGTGATTCTTGCACAAGTACACCCAGGTCCCTCTGCATAGCAGCATGCTGCAACTTTTTAACCATTCAAGTAATAATCCTTTTTACTATTACTCCTACCAAAATATATGACTTCACATTTGTTTACATTGTACTCCATCTGCCAGACCTTTGCCCACTCATTCAATGTATCTATGTTCCTCTGCAAAGTTTCACAGTCCTCTGCATACTTTGCTCTGCCACTCATCTTAGTGTCCCCAACTCCAAATCATCTATATAAATTGTAAATAATTGCAGTCCCAACACCGATCCCTGAGGCACACCACTAGTCACTGACTGCCAGCTAGAATAGCACTCATTTATCCCCACTCTTTGCTTCCTGCTAGTCAACCAATCCTCTATCCATGCTAATACTTTACCCTTAACGCCATGCATCCTTATCTTATGCAGTAGCCTCTTGTGCGGCACCTTGTTGAAGGCCTTTTGGAAATCTAGGTACACCACATCCACTGGGTCCCCATTGTCCACCTTGCTCGTAATGTCTTCACAGAATTCCAAAAGATTTGTCAAGCATGACCTGCCCTTCATGAACCCATGCTGCGTCTGCCCAACGGGACAACTTCTATCAAGATGCCTTGCTATTTCTTCCTTGATAATAGACTCAAGCATCATCCCCACTACAGAGGTTAAGCTAACCGGTCTATAATTCCCCATCTTTTGTCTACTTCCCTTTTTAAACAGTGGCATCACATTTGCTGTTTTCCAATTTGCTGGGACTGCCCCAGAGTCCAGCGAATTTTGGAAAATTACCGCCAGTGCACCTGCTATTTCTCCCGCCATCCCTTTTAATACCCTGGGATGCATTCCATCAGGGCCAGGAGACTTATCAATCCTTAGCTCCATTAGCATGCCCAACACTACCTCTTCCGTAATAATGATTGTTTCCAGGTCCTCACCTACCTTCATCTCTTTGTCAATTACTGGCATGTTATTATTGTCCTCCACTGTGAAGACCGATACAAAATACCTGTTCAATGCCTTGGCCATTTCATCATATCCCATAACTAAGTTCCCCTTCTCATCCTCTAAAGGGCCAATGTTTACTTTAGCCACTCTTTTTCATTTTATATATTTATAGAAACTTTTGCTATCTGTCTTTATATTCTGTGCTAGTTTTTTCTCATGTTCTGTCTTACTTTTCTTTATAGCTCTTTTTGTGGCTTTCGGTTGACCTTTAAAGTTTTCCCAATCTTCTAGTTTCATGCTGTTTTTGGCCACTTTGTATGCCTTCTCTTTCAATTTGATAGCCTCCCTTATTTCTTTAGACACCCATGGCAGATTACCCCTTTTCTTACAGTCTTTCCTTTTCACTGGAATATACTTTTGCTGAGCACTTCGAAAAATTGCTTTGAAAGTCCTCCACTGCTTGTCAACTGTCCCACCATAAAATCTTTGTTTCCAGTCTACTTTAGCCAAGTCCTCCCTCATTCTATTGTAGTTCCCCTTGTTCAAGCACAGGACCCTGGTATTGGATTTTATCTTCACACTCTCCATCTGTATTCTAAATTCAACCGTACTGTGATCACTTCTTCCAAGAGGATCCCTAACTATGAGGTAATTAATTATTCCTGTCTCATTACATAGGACCAGATCTAGGATAGCTTGCTCCCTCGTCGGTTCCATTACATACTGTTCAAGAAAACTATCACGGATACGCTCAACGAACTCCTCCTCAAGGCTACCCTGACCGAGCTGGTTCGACCAATCTGCATGTAGATTAAAATCCCCCATGATAATTGCTGTACCATTTTTACAGGCATTAGTTATTTCTTTGTTTATTGCCCGCCCCAATGTGATGTTATTATTTGGTGGCCTATAGGCTACGCCTATCAGTGACTTTTTCCTCTGATAGGGGTAGTCTATAGGCCACCAAATAATAACATCACATTGGGGCAAACTAGATAGACAAACTAGATAGTTTTTCTTAACAGCTAGAACGTGTCAGGATAAATGTAATTATTATTCAATTACCTGTGTTCAAGGGGTAACTACAGTCTACTAATTACCTTTTTGAATATCAAACTGTCCTGGTGATGGTGAACGTCCTCTTCGTGTTAAGCTTGAGCCTCTATTCATTGATCGAGAACTTCTGTATTGTGACTGTCCAGTCATGATGCTTTCTGCTGCTCCAGTAAATCTGGGCATCTGGCCTTCACTGACTTGCCCTGCACTACTATCGTCATCAGAGTCCTATATGGCAAAACAAAAATGATGTACATGTATAATTCAGAGACACTACAGTAAGTAATGCAAAACTTAACAGCTTGAGTAACCAAGGGTATGTCTTGAATTTATTATGAATAGATGATATTTCACTCGATGTTTTATCTGAGAGAATTTTGCATCAATTAAGGTAGAACTTGATCAAACATTTCCCCACTAGTTAACATGGACACATCTCTCTGGGAGGAATAATTCTAGCAAAAAAAATACAAGTCAGATATCCTTTATCTGCCTATCTGAAATTCATAAAGATCTCAGAACTGATGGTCTTTTCAAAAGCAGACCGGAACAGACCCGCTGAGTTCAGGCCCTTTGGAAAAAATCTTTGCATGGCCCAAATTGACGTAAAAGAAAAGTTGTTTTTCCATAAGGCCCAAATGGACCTATCTGCTTTCATCAATAGATTTTCACTATGCATTTAGGGTATTATGTTTTCAATAAATTAAAACAAAATTATTCTTCTCCTCCAGTGCACACCATTCAGATTGGTACACTGTACATCACTTTTTTTAGCCACTCAGACCGCCATCATTTCTGATTTTCCACGCGAATGAAGTGCTTGCCTAAAGCAAACCAATGACCAAGTAAATCTGGGCAAATGGATGCCCTATTGTGTCAATAGGACTGATGACAGTTTAAAACCAGGTTGTGATTGACAGTTGAAGCAGGGAAGCTGAAGCAGCTTTTTAACCATAGGCAGAAACAGGTTTGAAGGTACAGACGCTCCCGACTGGTGTAAGTGTATCCTATCTGAAAAAGTTAGTCCTGAATTTTTCACATAAAGCATGCCAGACCTGTATCTACATTATATCATTGCGACAGACTTCTTCCTAAATTAGATATGTCTGTGACATTACCAAATCAATTTGTAAATATAGTACTTTTGGTCAACAGTCACATATTTTACAAGATTTGTTAGTTGGCATTAATTAAAAAAAGATCAAATTGTGTAATGAACTTGGATCTATCTCCACAACAACAGTGTACAGAACAAATTATGTTAATTCAAAAAATGTAACCATCTTCAAAAGGACATTGCTTATCTGCAAATCAATATAGTACACTTTCACCATCATGGTTTGGATGGTAACTTAGTGAAGTGGATTCCCCATCATTATAGAACAGACCTAATTTTCATCCTATTGAAAGTAATAGAATGAAAACTGGCAATGGGCAACCTGCTCTACCACTGTTGATGTGGTGAAAATGAAACTTTGTATAGCTTTCTAAAGTCCAGAATTAAAAGAAGAATGCTGTTACCTGCAGGAGCTTGCAGCTATTATAAAATTTTCTATTGAGAATTTTGAACATTACAGTCAACATTGCTTTATAAATATCATTTTTTGACATTTTGTATCTGTGCAAAGAAGGGAGCAATACTCATGTATGAGTATTAGGTTAACATCAACAATGCCATAAGCAATTTAGTTATTTGCTTTGATAGTTTAGTGGCAGGAATTACACACTTCAACTATAAGTGCACTGCTACGGTCCTGGCTGAGATCCTCCAATTTGGTTACAATCCAGTTAGGGGACAAGTTTTTTTTAAGCAGGTGAAATTTGAAATCCCAGATACTTACAAAGAGAATAAAGGCACAAGATACAACTGTTTTATATGATCAGAAGATTTTTTTAACTATACAAGAGACAACTAAAAGCAAATCAATACTCTCTATCTAATACCTAACATACAAAAATAACTAAGTCAACATGAATTAAAAGGCAAACTGGTCAAACACACCATTAATTGCACATTAAATGGAAGACATAACCATGAATTTCACAGCAACCCATGCAAACATCCATGATCACTGTGAGTCACAGAATCCTTCAGAACTGTCTTCTGCTCATTCCTTCCAGGAATTTGAGCTCCACTCTTTTGAGGATATTGCTTTTGATTTCCCTCAATAGCTGCTCAAATTCAAACTGCCCCAAATGACAGTTTACCTTCTAGATGGTCAATTGCTTCTTTCAAGAATGCATCCCACTGGATCCACAAGGATGCACCCAGCATCTAATCACCTGCATTATACCAGCTATTTAGATCCTCAGAGCACAAAGCATTACTGTTGGGCTTCCAAGTCACAACTTGCAAATGCATCATGCAAGTACTTCTCCTAAATTACAATCTTCACGCTCTATTTAACCCTATCTAGGAGGATCTGGAAGAGATGCCTGAGACAAAATGCAAATAGACAGAAAATGAAAATTTTATGTGATTAAGGGATAATTGGGTGAGAACTGATATATATAAGATACAGGTAATCAGTGTGTTGGATTTGCCTGGTGTGTGGGCTGGAATAAATCTCTGACTCAAAGTGTATGCCTGGACTCTGTTGAACCAACCTTTAACCTGGTGTCTCTCAATGGTAGCAGAAAATAGCTTAGCTGTTTGTGAATCGAAAATTGAAGACCCAGTTTAATTCTAACCAAAGAGAAATCTAAAGAAGACATCAGAGAAATGGCAGAATCAAAATCTAAAATAATGGGATATGGTTACCCACCTCTGTTTTTGATCGTGAAGGTTAAAAGTGAAGTAACCATGTGGACCTGCTTTACTTATTTACTGAGGAAGAAACAAAGTACGACCTTGGCTCTTTTGCTACCATACAAAACCAGAATAAGAAAAGTTTTTTTGCAATTGGAAACTGACTATTTGAACACATATATGAACATTTAGACAAACTATTAACTTTCATGAATAAAACTGATTAACTTGATGATCTACTATCAGTTTATCAGGCATGGTCAGATTTTGACAAATTCAGAAAGAATAATGATAATGAAATTCACTGGGCAACATGCAAGATGGAAATATATCTGGAAATTCCCTGATCTCTGCTGGGATTTATGTTTTTAGTCCGTGCCAAAGTACCAAATTTAAACAGAAGTTAAATTTGCAGATAAACATACACTGCTTGAACAAACATCAGAAGCATAAAAAAATTCACTTCTTCAGTAGCAATAAGCCAAATGACAGAAAATGGCAGATTCATTGTTAACGGTCTGACAAGGCAGTCTAGATATAGGTCGCAGGTGATAGTAAGAAAGAAGAATAACTAAGAAGAACGAAAACAGAAATGTTTTTGACAACTTTGAGAGGCAAAGAGAATTTCTCACTTACAACGGAAGAATGCACCCCAGAAATGCCCAGAATGTAATCAATTAATGTTTCAGGTATGATTTCCAAATGATATAATAGAGTATTTGAGACTAAACATAAAAATGTAAATTCAGAAAAAGATAGAAATATGGATCAAAGAGAGACCACAACATTGGTCACAAATCATTTTAGCCATGATAAATGCTTTGGCAGCAGATTCTTTCAATTGTGTAGTATTACACAGTGGATACATGTCTACAGTGTGCGGATTAGACTGGCGCTTTGAGTAATGAGGATTAGGACAAAGCCAAGGAATTTAGACTTTGACCAGTTTCAGACTTGGGGATGAGTCGAGATTTTTTTTTTTTCGAACCCTTTATGTTAGTCTTGCTCTTAAGGTTGGCAAATGTATTTAAAATATCTGACCTCCAAGTTGCCAATTTTGGAAATCTGCTGAACATTTCAGCAGATTAAAATAGCATATAACATTATAACCTTAAACCCCTGAGTGAGTGAGACTCATCTAAGCTGGTTAAGCACATCTGACTTGCCCTGTTTCTTCTGCTATACTTAAAGTGGGCCTTTGGGTTACAGAATTAATTTCCTACATATAGGACAGCTCTTAATTGTAACGGTGCTGTAATTGTATTGTAATTGTAATTGTATTCCAGAGGTCCACCATTCTCAAGGAAAAGAAAAATTGCCCAATATCCTGTCTGTTTCTATGTCTGTGTGGTTTACATGGATATTGTTGGTCCTCACCAATCTGACAAACTAGAATTATTTACCAATAGTTATGCTATGCATCCTCTTTCATTATTTTAAAAACCTCAATCAGCTTACTTCTAAATTTACACTGACATAAAGCTAAACAGTTTACAGAATAAGAATAAAGAAATTTAACTACAAAGATGTACACAAACACATTTTTCTCCCTAATCCAGGAAAATAGCCTGATTAGGAACTAATAACTAAATCACATTCAGATAGAAAATTTTACAATTCAGGAATATGTTCTGACTTTATAACACTTCCCTTGACTGAGGAAAGATTGTGATTAAGCATGATCATTCAGCAAACATTGCTTTCCTAGGATATGTGAGGCCATGACTTAAGTGAAATTTGATAGTTACAAATTCTTTAAGAATTCAAGAAAGTTGTCTTTCAGGGAAACTAACAATGATCAAGACCAAATCTGGAGCAAAAAGGACCTCGTTACAATTAAGAGTTGACTTTATATGTAGGAAATTAATTATGTAACCCAAAGGTTCACTTTAAGTACAGCAGAAAAAACAGGGCAAGTCAGATGTGCTCAACAAACTTAGATGAGTCTCACGCACTCAGGGGATTAAGGTTATAATGTTATATGCTATTTTAATATTTGATGGATAGCCCACTTAAATATTTTTATTGTAACAACTAAGGAATAAAACTGGATTCTTTATTAGGAATAAGATTTCACTATCTGTCTTTTTTCCCAAGCTTTATCACAAGCTCTGGAACCTGGCTCTATACCCCTTTACCGTGGAGCTTTTACCTGGACCCTTATGATACCCAGGAACATTATAAGATTACTTTAATTTACTAGAATTCTGGGATTATCCCAGAAAGGCACTGGGATTACCATAAAATTGGAATTAAAGGATATGGAGATAATGCAGGAACATGGTGTTCTTGCAAAGGATCAGCCACAGGTGACCTGAATGAAGGAGGAAGCTCAAAGGTCCAACTTGTCCACTCTGTTCCTACTTTTTACACAAAGTGAATAAATCCATCTCCTTGATCCTAACGGACTAACTAAGGTTCTTCTAGCCAGGAATAATTCTCATAACTCTTCTCTGAATCATTTCCAAAACCATTATATAATCCACCATGTGTGGAGATCAAAATCGTACAGTATTCCAGTTGTGGTCTAACCAATGACCTACATAATGACAGAGTGGAGTCCTTTGATTTTTACTGAATGGTTCTATTAATATAACCAAATAAGATGTTAGCTTTGTCTACTATTTTTTCTAAACTGGCCATGCACCATAACATCTGGATCGTTTTCCCTGAACCTTTTTTAGTACCATCCCCTGCATATGGAAAGTACATTCTGTGCTGGTGACGTACCTAACCACAAGGCCCGTCAGATTTTGGTGGGCAGCCTTGGCATGACGCTGGTCTCAAGTAACATGAGTAAAGCATCAGTATTGGTGGGAGGGTGTTCTGAAGTGGTTATAAATTGGCTCACAGGTGAGTGGGACACCTAAGGGATGTTCTCCTGCTGGGTTAAATACCCAAGGGCAAGGAGGGTCTGAACACAGCATTGTTCACAATTTTTGCAACTCCCACCCCAGTTCTATTTTGCTGCATTACTGAAGTACCAGATAAATTACCAGAACAAAGCTTATTAGAAGTAACTCTTTATTTTTACCTCAGGATGATGTACTTCTTGTGGGGCATATGGGCCTTGACTGACTTGTGCTAACATTGTGCCAAGTGAGTATTTTTGCAATCCCTTACGTGTCTTTGAGATTACTTGTCCCTCACTGGGAGGATCTTCATCCTAAATAAAATAAAACTGTTCAATGTAAAAGAGAAATTTGCAAATAAATTGAAACATTTAGAATCTTTTTTTATCTTTAATAACATGCTGTTTTATTTTAGGTCACATTTTCAGCATAATTTCTGTATACTGAGTTACAATTTCTCGATTAATGAACAGAGTACAGGGGTAGACACCCTAATTTTGTTCGAGAAAAGGGATTACTTTTATATGTTTAATCATAGTTATTGAGGGTTTGCTTACGCAATGTTACCTTTCAAACTAAAGCTAAACCATTGGATTCAGTCATTCCTGCCAGCTTCAGTATTTTTCCTAACTGGATCTATATAAAAACAAACATTCTAATTTCCTCTCGTTGAGAATGCCAATGCTGGTAAATGGCTGGTCTTTGTTTTTCTGATTCTGTCTCCATCCTTCTTTCTCCTCCATGTCTATCTCTCTTGCCTGTCCACTTCTCTCCATTATTGTCCTGACTCCCAGTGTTTTTGAACTGTAATTTATCCTGGGCTCTGCAGGGACTGATATAGATGTTTAGACAAATTTGCAATTTAATCTTCCAAACATTTGTGACAAGGTGGATAGCTCTAATATGCAATGATTTTGTTTCAGAACAACTTTCCATAATTTGTTTATATCTGACGGCTTATAAGCCGTATATATGATTTAGGTGTGGAAGGGAAATTTAGGCACAGATTTTCACCAGGATGGAAAAAGCCTCTAAATGGGGAAAATGCAGGGTGCGGAGAGCTGAGACACCCAATTTCCAGACTGACAGCAAGGGCCTGCACAACCATTTTGAATGCAGCCCCCATCCTGCCTTGCTCCCAGTGGCTACTTCAAGCATCTAAACTGACCCCATTTTCTTGTGGGAACCTGATAGAAAATCCCAGCTGATCTCCTTTATTTTGCTGTAAGTGGCCCTTAATAAGCTGCATGTAGTCTGGTATCCCTGTACTTCCTGTGTGTAAATGGCCCAAGGGCAGGATACAGCCTGAGGAACCAGGATACCAGCCAGCAGGACAAATTACAAATTATAATAACAAGACCTATTTAACAAAGATATAAAGCTGACCAACACACAGTTTGAAATATTGAAACAACTATTTACCCTGTTAAAATATCCCAACATGCACACTCACATACAAGTTAAAGAAAAAGTGCGGAAACTTTCTCTGCAGCAATCAGCTTTGTGGGTGGAAACACTTGGGCTAAAATAGTTCATTCTTGGAGAATAAGAGGAATGAAGTGTGAAATGTTCTAGATTGCCACTATCTGGCATCCTTGTCACTGGGCACATTCAGATGTATCTCTGATGTATTTTCAGATGTGGTTTCTTCAGGATTTCAAGAGAAAATCTTCGAGAAGCCATTCAGAGGTATTTCAGCTTTTCAACTTTATTGGGATTCTACAGAGTTTTCGAGATCACATGGTCATAATGAGGGAGACTTCACCAGTGTGAGACTGAGACTAGAATTTGGGTCAGAGTCAGAATTTGGAACAGAGGGGAAGAGTTGCTCTAGAGTGAGGGGTGAGCAGATAGGGAATTGGGCATTGAGTGAGGGACCTACCTGTACTGAGACAAATGGTGGTGTGATGTCATATGTGCAGATAAAGCAGCTGATTATTGAGTATTTTTGGTTAGTATTTCCAACCTTTGAAGTGGAAGTTGGGTATTTAATTGGTGCTTAAGTACCCAAACATTTTTTCTTTATCTTTTCTGAGAAATAGCTTGTTATTTTTTCCATAGTAAGTCCATACCTATTCTAAGGGTAATGAATAGTTTATTTGGATTACAGGATGGCAGATCAGAAAGACAAAGTGGAATGTGAATCCTGTGGTATGTGTGAAATCATAGACATGCCAAGTGCACCAGACAAAGATATTGGCAGGATCCATTTAGAAGAATGAAGGAAGATCATACAGAATTCTAACACTATGAGAGAGGGCAAACACAGGGAAGATGTCCTTGATAACTGGGACACAGTCTAAAGGTTACAGGGTAGGCCTTTTAGGACTGAGACAAGGAGAAATTTCTTCACACAGAGAGTGGTGAGTCTGCGAAATTCTCTGGCACAGAAATGGTTGAGGCCAAAACGTTTAATGTTTTCAAAGAATTAGGTATATTTCTTAGGGCTAAGGGGATGAAAGGATACAGGGAGAAAGCAGGAACAGAGTTAGATGTTCAGCCATGATCATATTGAATGGCGGAGCAGCTTGAAGGGCCAGATGGTCTAGTCCTGTTCCTATTTTCTTTTGTTTCTATATTTCTGTGTAACCAGTTGCCCAAGCTTAAACGCTGGGTTTCAAAACTTGAGCAACAGCTAAAGTCACTTGTGCATCCATGAAGAGGAGAACTATATGTACAGCAGACAGGGAATGGATCGCTATCATGCAATCAAAGAAAACCAGGACAGTAATGCATAGAGTTAGCAGGGTATAGTGCCATGGTCTCCTCTGGCAATCCTAAGGAATTGTCCCTCTTGTCCACCATGCCATCAATCAGGTGCTCCAAACCCTGCCAGTAAAGTGGGTTGCCAGCTTGTTGTGTTGGCCATCTCTGGGGCATTTCTTCCCACAATAGAACTGTGAAAGGCAACTTGTGGCTTGCAGCATTTGAACTGGTCCATCACTGTGCTTTAAATATGGTGCTGATGACAAGAAACTCAAAGTATAGGTAATGAGATGGACATTGTAAAATTGCATGAGAATATTTTCTGGAATTCATGGAAAGAAAACCGCCATGACCCTCGCCGAAATTGACACTTAGTGATTTTTGAATAGCCTCCTTCTGCATCAAAGTTGTTCTGTGATTCTGTGAAGACAGAAAAATCTGAATTTTTTTTTGGGGGGGTGGGAGCGGAGAGAATCATATCACTGCAGCATTTTTAAATCTATGGTGAAATGCACATTTCTAGGCTATTTCAGTTGGGTGAAACATTAACTTTCTCTTTCCTTACTGCTTGTTACCATCAAGTTTGTAGACCAATGTATTTGTACAAAATTATCAAAGTGATGCCAGCACTTCAGGATTCAGAGCAGTTAGTATGTGTAATACAGGATGAAGTCCATACCAGCAAAAAAGAATTACCTTTCTGAATTATGCACACGCTTCACAAATGTGACCCCATTTTAATTCACCACCACTTTCTCAAGGGCAATTAGGATGGGTTGACCAGTGACACCTACACCTTATGAATGTGGACAAGGTCAGAAATCACACAACACCAGGTTATAGTCGAACAGGTTCATTTGAAAACACAAGCTTTTTGAGTCTTACTCCATCTTCAGGTGTTAGTGAGGGAGGTAGTATCAGACACAGAGTTTGTAAGTAAAAGGTCAGAGTTTGTAAGTAAAAGGTCAAAGGGTGACACCACTGATGTGGATGTACTAAACAAACCTAAGATGCTTGTTTTCAAATAAACCTGTTGGATTATAACCTGGTGACGTGTGATTGCTGACCTTGTCCAACACGAGCACCTCCACATCATGATCACCTTATGAATGTGTATATGTACAATACATACATGTGTATATATCCTACATATGTTACTGTAGAAAATTAACATGACTCCAGATGCCAGAAAACAAAAGCAACATGGAAGCCGAATAGCATTTGCGATGTTATTATTAAAGTTCAGGTCCTAGAGTCATGCAGCAGGAAAAGACCCTTGTTCACGCTGTCAAGATTTTCTAAACTGAACTAGTCCCATTTGCATTTTCCTGCGTTTGGTCCACATCCCTCTAAACCTTTGCTATTGATGTACTTGTCCAAATGTCTTTTAAATATTATAATTGTAACCGCCTCTATAATTTCCTCTGGCAGTTCATTCCATATAAGCACCACTCTCTGTGTGAAAAGTTATCCCTCAGATCCCTTTTAAATCTTTCCCCTCTCACCTAAAACCTATGCCCTCTGGTTGCGGACTCCCCGACCCTAGGGAAAAGACCTTTGCTATTCACGCATTGCCTATGCCTCTCACAATTTTATGAACTTTTAGAAGGTTACCCCTCAGCCTCCTATGCTCTAGAGAAAGAAGTCCCAGCCTACCCAGCCTCTCCTTGTAACTCCAGTCTCGGTAACATCCTGGTAAATCTTTTCTGCAACGTTTCCAGTTTAATAACATCCTGCCTATAAGATATATGTTACATTTTATATTTTAAATGTAAACATGAAAATCCGTGGCCTTCAAGTACTTTTCAAGATGTTGCTACTTTATATTGTCATGTAGGCTTCAGCCAGGTTGTACATAATCCAAGGTAGACAAACAGGAGGCTGGAAGAACTCAGCAAGCCAGGCTGCATCTGGAAGAAAGGAGAAGTCAACATTTCAGGTATTACTCTTTGTCAGGACTGAATGTAGGTGGAGTGGAAGGGAGGAGCAGGGCTGGAAAGGAAGCTGGGGGGTGGGTGGGATGGTTATTTGAAATTAGAGAACTCAATGTTTAGTACTCCGGATTGTAGGGGGCGCAGGTGGAAGATAAGGTGTAGTTCCTCAAATTTGTGTTCCGAGTCGCTGCGACATGGGAGGAGGCTGAGGATGGACATGTTGGAGGGGGAGTTGAAATGGGTGGTGACTAGGAGGTTGGCCATGTCAGGCCAGGCGAAGATGTTTGGCAAGACGGTCGCCTAGTCTACATTTAGACTCACCGATGTACAGAAGACCACATCAGGAGCAAGGGATGCAGTAGACTAGGTTGGAGGAGATGCAGGTGAAACTCTGTCTCATTTGGAAGGACTGTTTAGGGCCCTGGATGGAGGTGAGGGAGGTGGTATGTGGGCAGGTGTTGCATCTTTTACGTTTTCAGGGGAAGGTACCGAGCGGGTTGGAGTGGCTGGTGGGGAGTGTGGCGCGAACTAAGGAGTGGCAAAGGGAATGGTCCTTGTGGAAGGCAGAGAGGGTGGGGAGTGGAAAAAGTGGGGCGGTGGTGGGGTCTAATTGGAGTTGAAGGAAGTGTTTGAGGGTGATTCATTAGATGTGCAGGCTGGTGGGGTGGAAAGTG